GGCCCCCCCCCCCCCCCCCCCCCCGCGTCGCCTTTATGGGACTAGTCCCAGTCCTCTTGCAATTCAAGGCAATTTTGGTGAATAGAGGACTGGGAAGAAGGATGCTCGCATGTCACTTGCACGAATAACTTAGCTAGTATTCGTCGATAAGAAAAGGTTTAAAATTATTTCATCATAAAGCGAAATATAAAATCAGGCTAAAAGCCTTTTTTATATTTTTTATAGTCGTTCTTTTTTTGAAGCAGCAGTAATTTGGATGTTAATGTAGACATTATTAGCATAATCAATACTTATTAACCTACGATCGGATCAGGTCATTTACTTATAAAGAAATACGAGGCTACTTTCTTTAAAAGTATATAAAAATAAATAAATGATAAATGTGTTGATCAAGTCCGAGTTCCGTACCTGTCTCTCTTCAACCACACAAATGGAAAGAATCTTCGTGAAGGACAGGTTTTAATCTCGTAAGTTGTATCGGTTGAAACAGTTGCCATATCGATTTTTTCCCTGTTGTTGTCGTTTGTTTCCGTTTCAGTGTTCTGCGAATAAAATAGGAAAACACTCACCTCCACGGAAAGAGCTTAGGGCTACGTATATATAACTGTATAGTGAACATTTAATGGGCTCCTGAGACCATAGATCCCAGCACTGGGCTAAAACAACAAGACTGCGTCAGAAATAATAGCTTACTCCAGTGGCGGATCCAGGTGAGCCCCCCCGCCCAACGTATTTTTAGACCAAACTGAGGCCCGAAGGCTCCGCCAGCCCCCTTATCTGAAGGCCTGGACTCGCCCAGTGTACTCTTCCATATAACAAGCATTCCCGATAGGCGAGCAAAACTCGAACGATGTGACCGTCGGAAATTACGCGATTTAGGGAATACTTTGGGCCGGAGGATGACGGGATTGCGGCAGGGAACCTGAACCAGTCTGAAAGGGTCGAAAAGAGAATTCCAGTAAAGTCAAAGCCGTACAAAAAGACACGATGGATGAGAAATGAACTGAGTCATTTGAAGCATTGGTGAATACATCTCAGGCTTGAAAACGTGGGCAACAATTAGAATCTTCACACTGTTTTTTATTAAAGAGGCGAGCAGCAGACCCTCGACCAGCAACTGAGGGTCTGCGAAAAAAGTGTGTAGGCGCAAAGGACGGCGGGACAGTGAAGTGATCCACCTTCCCATGATGCCCGGCTGGTAGGGCTTACGCGCCTTCGCAGTGACTTCGAGCGGTTGTGCAGAGCTCGGACCTCTTCTTCACATTACTTATTTCTTATTCATTTGAGATCTGAGGTACATTTTTTACTATTGCAACTTAAATTAAGTCGAATTCTGACACCAGCTAGAAGTGCAACGTAAATTTGCTCATTTTTTGCACGTATCGTTGCAAAAAAAAAACCTCACACTTCTGTTTGCGCAATTATTGCGCAAACGATCGTAGCCGGACAGAATTTTAAAAATACTCAGTGTCCGGCAGTCTTATTGTCTTGGCCTTCGAAAAGTTAGGGATAACGGCTAGAAGACAAGGAATGTGGATAAAAACAGTATATTTATTATCGACTGCCGGACACAGAATATGTTGAAAATCGTATCCGGCTGCCGGACAAATAAGTCATGGGGCCGGGGCACTATGGCCAGTTCGCTCCCTATTCCTTGACAGTCACTAAGCCCAGGCTAAGGTGTCATATTTTTCCCGTGACTTTCAGTGGATGCCATCTTAAATCCAGCTGAAGGTAGGTGAAGCATTCGCCAACTTAATGCCTTTGCTGTTGAAGGTCAGGTTTTTCTTACAGCTGGTGTTGGACATGAACTCTGTGTTCTTTGAGTTGATGACCTAGCCTTTCGGCCTTTGCAGCTGTCCTGTTCAGCTGGACTTGGGCGTTGTTGAGGGAATTCTCAAGAGGGCACCATCATTTCCAAAATCAAGGTCATAAATCCCTTAGATATCTGTTAGATTGTCTAGACACAGAACCATGAGATCCTTCAGATTACTTCATTGTAAACTCATTTCCCCTGTAGGACAAGACCTCAAATTTCTTTGAACACATTGCTGTTGACAAATACTTGATAGGGTTATTGTACCTTCTACAAGTGGCATAAATATTGTGATTAATGGAGTCAAAAGCTACTTGACATTAATTTCTGTAGTGGCTGAAAGTGGCTTACTGAAACAAGACAGCTGCTTAGTGAAAAAGTATGAAGGATTACCAGGTAGCTTCAAAATATAATCCGTAAAATGTGTCGATTGTCTGGTTAGCATACATGTCAGCTGCTCTGTCTCTGATTTATCCAACCTGCTTGTAGACTGCCAAACTGTTGTTTTTTTTCTCAACAGTGGTTTAAGAGTCTCAGACTTGCAAAGCGTGGGAGCCTCAGATGCCCATAGGGTGTATGAGGCGTGAGAGAAAAAAACGACTGTCAGTTTTTCATACAATGAGTCCGTATTTTAAGCGTATCTCCCCAGTCTCGCTCTCAGTTTTCTGCCTTGCTTCAGACCTTTTGTTTGACTGCTCGTGCGTATTTGAATACACAAAAATATGGACTGTTTTGCGGTCTAACAGGCTTGAATTAATAAAAATTTATTGCCTTCTTCTTTTTTCTAGAATTTGTGGTTATCACTGATCATGGCTGCTGCAGTGCATAACGAATGGGGAATTTCAGAACTAAAAGCAAACTCATCTGAAAAGGATACCAGAAAAACTTATGACACTTGGGCAAAAACTTATGAAGAGGTATGCCACACCTGTTAGACTCGTATGTATAAGCTTCAGTTAAGTTAAGTTGTTTGCTTTAGCATCATGAATTTGCCAGTAGCTACACATGTATTAAGTGTAATTAAATGGTTTAACTAGGGAACAGCAAAGAATAACAATAGGCTAGAGAGAAAAACAGGACTTTTATTCCAACGTACACTGCTTGTCAATTTTACAGTTTTATATTATAACGTTAACATTCTAAAATAATACAATATGAACCCATTCTCTCGTGGAAATTTTAGGGAAGCATTATTTCAAGTAGTAAAGCCATTTCTCTGCGCACTCTCCGTCCCAAAACTACCCAACACAAGTTGAACTTATTGTTCTTTATTATTAAGATGTCTGCTTAAATTGTGAAAGACATCTCAAAGAGGCTGGAGTCCGTTAGGACTAAAGACTCAGTAGAAAGGGTGGACTATTGAAAGACTGGAGGTTTATTTATGGGGACAATGAGACTAAACAGAGGAAATTAATGTACTATTTTTTCAATTCATACTAAGGCCATCCTCTTTTTTTTTCTCCGTTTAGCATCATCCGACCAACCCAAATTTTTGGCATTTTCAAAACAAAAGGAATGACATAGTTGAACCATTTTTCACTTGACATTATTCTTTTAATCTGAAAAAATTGGCATAGTAACAGCGTAAAGTAAAATAGGAACAAAAACAGGAACATTTTTTACAGTACATTGTGTATTTTGTCAATCCAAATATGTGAATGTTAACTTTTAACATCGTCCAGGGTTATGGGGGCCTGCCATTTCGAGACCTCTGGTGACTTTTTTTAGCTTTTTTTTTTCAATCCGACCGACCAACCCAACATCCGGAAACCTATTCGATGCTAAGCAAAAAAGAGAGAGGGAATGGCGTGAGTGGGATAATGTCTGGCCAGACGTGTTAACTCTTTTAAAACACTCATATGAAAATTTAAATTCTTGTTTGTTTAATTTAATTTAATTTTCATAGGAGTATTGGAGGAAAGATGTTAAAGTATCAATAATAATCAGCTTGTGTGATCATGTCCTTAACTTTCATGACCAGTGACAGTTTTATGAAGTATAGGTATTATAGCAGAAATTGGACACTGATTGCTCAACAGATCAGAGCTTTTAAACTGAATAATAACTCTACCTAGTACAGGGTCCGAAATTAACTTTTTAATACGGGCGCCAACTGGCTATCAAGTATAAATTTTTGGTCGCCAGAGGGCAAATTATGGTCGCCAAAAATTTCCCCTCTCTTTCTTAAAATAGAAGTTTAAACACGAATAAAAAATGTATGGTATGGACATTTTTATGCTCAAAAATTCCACTACTTTGGCTCCCGATACCAGAGAGCAGCCGTACGTGCACGAGTGAGGTCTTATTTTTTCCACAAATTACTTTTTGGAGATATAAACACGAGTCCACCATGTTGCTCAATCCAGGCCACAACCGTGGATATATGGGTACCGTGTTTCAGCTGAAAAGAACATGGCGGCTTTGAACCATTCAACTCATGTTGATCGTAGCTGTCGTGGAGGTATTTTTACATGAAGATTCGTTTCACTTTTAACCTGAAAGTTCACAATAACAGCCAGCTTTACAAGTCGCCAGTTGGCGACCAGCTATGAAATTCTGGTCGCCAGTACTGAATTTTTAGTCGCATTGGCGACCAGGAAGGCGCAATTTCGGACCCTGTAGTAGCTAAGCATTTTTTTTCCAGAACAAAAGGCTTACCTATACAAAGATGCCAACCTCTGGATCTATACAATGGTATTACTTTGGTTATCAGAATGGGTAGTCCCATAAAACAGAAGTGGAAAATTTTAAATGGCTAATTCACCACAGCTATCTCTTGCTGATCATTTTTTTGGTTTGTTTGATTCATATAGGATACTGACAAACTTGGTTACAAAGGGCATGTCCTGTGTATTGAGGCTTTCAATAAAGCCATGCAGTCTAAAGACATTTTCCCGGAAGCTAACAAGGATATCAAAATTCTTGACGCTGGGGCCGGCACTGGAATCATTGGTGAAATGCTGGTGCAGCAAGGGTATAGCAACATTGATGCCTTGGACATTTCTGAAGAAATGTTGAATTTAGCAAAAAAGAAGAATATTTACAAGCGATATATCTGTGCCGCACTGAGTGACGTCCCCATTGATGACATACAGACTGGCGAGTATGATGTAACTTTGTGTGCAGGTACTATAGTCTATGGACAGGCGAAGCCAGCAGCACTGGATGAGTGTGTTCGTCACGTAAGACCAGGTAAAGTGTTATTGCTATATCTGTTGTAAGGATACTATGCTCTTTTCATGGAATTCAAAAACCTAGGTGGAGTAGGGCAGCAGTCTTTCACTCTCACATTAAGTTACTTTTGTTGAGGTTTTTAACAATCACTAATTGTATAACCTTAAGTCTGGAAAAGGAACTTTATGTTTTGAAAAAAGTCTTGCATCCAAAAATGTGTTTTGAACCCTTATTGACAGTAATTATTAAATAAAGTATTTTCCTCTCATAGGTTTTTTCTAATCTTGTTTTAAAAATCTTAGTCATTGTCAGTAGTAGTCTTAGTTAAGGACTACACTGGGCCAAACAATCATTTGTCACCAGACTCATTGTCAACCCCGTTCATAATCTTTCATTGTCTTTCTCCAGGTGGTATCTTCATTTTTTCCATCCGTGCAGATTCCTTTGATCCTGTTGAGCTCGGTTACAGCACCAAGTTTGAGGAGATGGAGACAGCAGGAAAGTGGAGGCTAGTGAAGAGAGAGAGGCGTGAACTATATGCCCATCCCCATGAGGAGCGATTTAGGGACTGTTACTTGATCACTTACAAAGTGCTCAAGAACTGATGGAGATTCTGGTATTAAAACCTAGTTTACACGTAGGTGGCCCAAACATTAGCACAAGCAACACACAGAAACACAGTGGAATGTTAATCATTATTTGCTTTCGATGCAAGTTTAAGTATAATCATGACACTTTGCCATCCATATTATGGTAATACATAGAAGGTAACAAAAGACCTTCAATATTTATTATTGGTAACAGAACACAGCAAGAAAATTGTTTGAAAATTGTTTGAAAATTGGATTTTGCAGTACTACATTCTGTTTCTTATGCTTATGGTTAGTTCACACAAAATCATTTTTTCTATATTTATGCTTTTTAAAAAGGAAAACGAACTATGTGTCATCTGTTTTATCATACCTTTTCTCTATTTCTTCTTGGTTCTTCTTTGTAGTTTGAAGCAGTTATTGTGAAATTTTGTGTAATCCTGTCACCCTTCTGTTTGGTGAGGACCACAATTGATATTTATAATAATAATTTTAAAATTCATATTACACAGTTTTCATTGCAAGATGATTAACTGCACGTAAATTTGCCAGCACGAGATGAGTCAGTCTGAAGTGTTAGCCATCTCTTTGACCCACCCCGCAACAGATGGGCAGGCTGCCCTTTGCAGGTGGGGTGGTGTGGGGGAGGGGGGGGTGGGACAGCTGACATTTCAGAGTAGAGATATGTGGGTTTTAGGTGCCACTGGGTCTAATCCGTACAGAATCCTAAGGGGCCTCCCCATGGGAATTCCCGAAGGATCAGGTGTTATTGAGCCATTGCACTTTATGTCTTGTGCTCAAGTCTTGAATTCAGTTTACTGAAGGAGTTTCACAGGTCTGAATTCAGTTGTTAGAACCGAAGATTTTAATAGGCTTATTTCTTTGTACATGATCTGTAGCTGGTCAAGTTTGTGTCTTTTTGGTCTAGTAAAAAATCAGAGCTTGAACGCTCTTGTATTCCTCCACACAGGACACTAATACAACCATTCAACGCATGTAACGTTTATTTCCGTTTTACTGACCACTGAATTTATTTATTTTACATATGCTTTATAGTTTTGTGTGATATATAAACCCACACGGATCCATATGCTCTTCAATGTATGCAGTTGATATGAAAGTCTGTGTAAACTCTCTAGACCACACTGAGTTAGACCTGCTGCATTTATGTGAAAAAGAAAGGTTTTGCGATAATCTGTCTTCTTTTTTTGTTGTTGTCTCTTTGTGCAGACTCGATGTCATTCTTTCCTCAAAAAAAATTGTTACTTCCTTAATATCCATCTTTAATTATTATTTAAATTATTATATCCATGTGTTTCATGTACTCTTTTTTCAATTTTATCCTATGTTTCTTTTTAGTCTGTCTGTGAGAATGATGAAAATATAATAAAATAGAAATTGAATCACGACATATAAATTGAAGGTTAGTAGTTGTAGTGACAGATCTGTTACTTTGATCCCTACTGAAGTTTGAAGGTGCTAACATAGAGCGGTTCTCAAACTGGACCCTAGCCTACGTGGCAGGCATTCAAAGAGGCGTATGGAATTCGGGCGTTTGAGAATGCGAAGGGATTGGGAAAGGGTGATTAGGGCGTACTACAAACTGCAAACTTCAGCTACACAGTAGTTGCTATTTTTTATTGTAGGAACAATTCTGCTACTTTGATCAATAAAAGTTAGGAACTGTTTTTGATTAAATCGGCCTTGTAAACTTGTAACTCGAAGGTGATCAACTCGGTGAATTATACAGTCCTCTTACGTAGCTTCTTACGCAGATGTTTCTCTGGTTCGCCATGCAACGATCCTCCGCGATTGGTGATCGTTTCGCCCGAAGACGTGTCACCTGGACTTACGTTTGGATTCCACATGTGCAGCTACTGTCATTTTACGCTTATTGTCTTTTTTCAGGCTTAAACAGCGACAAATAGACATCGGGCGTATCGACTTAAGTCCGGGCGAAGTGACGTCGTTCCAATCGACTATCGGGCGAAACGACCTGATACCTCCTCCGCAACCAGTAGGGGGTGCGTGATAAGCCTAAAGAACATCTACAGAGGAAACTAAAACGCAGATGATACCGATCAAAGCTTCAGTAACACAGCGGATTCAGTGTTTACTATGCATCAAAACTGTAATAGTCGGCCTGTAGATAGACTGCCAGCAGCCCATCGGGATTGTTGCGCGGACGAGCCCCTTCACGAGTGCATGAACAAGGCAAAAGCGAGAGCAGGAGGACCTCTGTCTCCTGTCGCACTTTGTTTGCCTCTTTAGTCTTACTAAGCGTCTACTCGACAGACTGAGAAAGGATTAATCATAGTCTAATCTGTGGCTTATGTAACTTCATGATAAGTAAGTCGCGGTGTAGGTTATTGCAGCAACCAGAAAGAAGAACACAAAAAACACGTGATCGAGCTTACATGACACTTTCTGCCATGTTATTTCTTCCCGTTTTTCCTCCCATCCCTCTGGCGTATTGCGCATGCCTTCAGAATGCTCTGTGAGTTCAATCGCGTTTGCGGAGGCAGCCATCTTGGAGGAATGTGAATCTGCAGTAGAGACGTGGATCCGCTGGACGTTTTTTCCCTTTTTACCATGGCACAAGCAGAAGAGGTTCTGTACCCAGTTAGGAGGAGGTCCCTCCATGAAGAACAGCTTTAAAACGAAGATATTACAAAAGAGAATCAAAGATATGATGACCATAGTAGCCTGCAAGCCAATTCCAAGGATAGGAACACCATCTGAAGTCTCGGGAAGAAAAGACGGAATGAGGAGCAAGAACACAGTCATAGCCAATAGGATGGTGGTGACGAAACCGATCCTTTCACCACTCTCCACGGGAATAAGGAAGCTTGTTAGGGCCAGGAACATAAGCATCATGCTCGGAATGGTTAGGTAGAACAGGTGATATAAAGGCTTTCTTTTCATTTTCAGGTCGTAAACAACTTCACTGAACTTAAATGGACAACAGTCACCGTGGTCGGTCTGTTCGACTGAAGCGGCGACGTTGGTAATATCCCAATCACCATTTGTAACGAACCGGTCTGAAAATCAAAATAGTCAAGCGTTTCATATTGCAAAGCTTTTTTAGATTTCCTTATCAATTCGCTTACTAAGCATAACTGGCAAACTGACTCACCGACCTACCCGGACTGAACCAACTGGCTGACAGAGACTACTGGCTCCCGGTCGGCATTACTGCTAGCTAGCTGGTTGAATAACTGACTGACTTCACTTATTAATGACCAAAGGGCTGACCGACTGACTAGTTAATTAGGTGGCTGGTGTTTTGACTGACTGGCTGGCTGGCTCGCTAACTAGCTGGCTGGCTGGCTAACTAGCTGGGTGGAAGGCTTGCTGACTGACTGACTGACTAATTAGCTAGCTGACTGACTGACTGACTGACTGACTGGCTAACCGTCTCCTTGCCTCGCTGGCTCGAGATGAATGACTACTTGTCGCAATCAGGACTGCCTGTCTAAATAAGGTTTACTTCGAGTGTCAATTACCAAAACTTCGCAATTCTCCTGGGGGGCCCGGGGCCCATCCTCAAGATGCTGGATAAACTTACTAGTAAACTGTCCACCGCCTTTGTCTTGAAAGAGTTTGATTTCCATTCTGTCAACTCCATACGTAAATGAACCAAACCCTAGTTCACAAGTCTGCTTATCAAATGGCCACTGGCCAATGTCTAATTCGCAATTAGCTTTGAATGTAGCTGGTCCGCTCCATACGCAGTTTCCTTCATTATCTACCGACACCTCTGTCACAAACTTTGTTCTTCCCCCAGCTAATGTGACGCCCTCGTCACCACTGAAAGGCAAAAGCTCGTTTTTAGTTCTTTAGCAATAAATTGTTGTATCTGCAGCTGTTGTCCGCAAGTCAACGAGTATGAATTGAATAAAACGTTTGTAGCCTATAGCACGAAAAGAACATAACACCTGAAAACTGCACGCACAAAGGCCGTGGTTCACTAGTTAAATACAGTCTTCACGTTGTTGATAATTCCGCCTTACAGTAGTCGTTTTGACAGTAATTTATAGGTTTTTATCAGTAGCAAGGCGGTAACATTGGTTGTCCAAATTGCCTTGTACCCAATATGAGCTGTACTTCAGTGCTTACCATAAAAATGTCAAGGTGACAGGGTGTTGACCCTACGCGAGAAATCCCAGCCTGTAGAACAAACTAAGAGATCCGCTTCCTTTCTGGTAAGACTGCAAGCATTTGTTTTGCGAAACAATAGGTTAAGGGTCCAACTCGTATAACAATTGAAGGTGCCGTAGTAAATAGTAAGGACCAGTGAAAACGGATATCTACACTAAAAGGGTGCAGATGAACCCAACCTGTAGGAACAGGCTCTTGAAGGGGCTCCAAGACTTGTTCTCCGAGAACCTTCGAGGATGATTGAACTTGACAAGCGCCGCTTGTAAAGATCAGTTTTTACCCTTGAAAATGCACCGTGTAACCCGACGAAAGGACTGAGAACACATCTAGCCATACTTGTAACAACAAAACTTATCAATGCAGGGAACACTGGCCATTTAACTTGACCATATGACTTGACCCTCTTTGAACAGCAGTAAAAACAGCAATAGTTGGAACCAACTCTTTTTGTCAATCACAACTGAACAGCACAGGAAGTGCAGGTATTGCTTCTGCCGTACCATTCAGTGAAATGATCACCACTTTAGCATGTCGCCTTATCGACACATCTAGAAGAACCACTTTGCTTTGCAAAAGCACAATGAAAATTGCTATAATTTTAAATTATAAGGGCACTTACTTGTTAAAAAGCGAGATATCCGGTACCCAGATCTCTTCGGGAAGAAACTGCACGCGATGAAAACCTCCAAAGCTGTTTGTATTCCACTTGAGGAATTCATTTGTCCAAGTCTGAAAAAAACACACCAATTTCAAGTTACAATCTCAATGTTATATCCGTATTCTGAGGTGTCAGCTTTTAGCGGCGATATGTAAAACAGTTAAGAACAATTCAATGACACTATACCCTAACCAGGGCATCCGCTCTGACCCTAACATTCTAAAAACAGTCCGACGTGAATGGATAATTACTTCTACAGGGCAGTAAGCTTTTTTGTCGCCAAGCGAACGTGCGAAGCTGCTCCCTACCTGTATAACCCAAGTATCCAAAATAACTGTTTGTTCCCTGGTATCCTGTGAAGGTACAAAAGGAGTAAATAAGTCCCATGATTTCACGATGTTCATTTTAAAAATATCGTTGTCTAATAAATAACAACTGCAATAGTTCTTCAAAAAGTAGTTTACTCATGACGTTGTTTGCCTCGCCCCCTAAACTTTGCAGAAACTTTGTTTAATTTCCCCTGTGTATTTCAGCCGTCTCAAAAGAAATTGAAGAGAATGCTTCATATGCAAAAATAGGTCGGTAAAACGGGCCAAAAAAAATACGTTCAACTTGTTTTGCAACAAAGTGCTGCAAAACGAGTTGACTGAGTGATGTTGCGCGTTTTACTCGACCCACGTTCGAAGCTGTCTTGCAACAAATAAGGTTGCAAGGTTTGTTTTGTGGGTGGTAAAACACGCAACATTGCTAATCAACTCGTTTTGCAGCAATTTTGCACAACAAGTTGCACGTTTTTTTTTTTTTTAAGCTACAGTAAAACGGGCAAAAAAAAAAACAAACGTGCAACTTGTTGTGCAAAATTGCTGCAAAACGAGTTGATTAGCAATGTTGCGTGTTTTACCACCCACAAAACAAACCTTGCAACCTTATTTGTTGCAAGACAGCTTCGAACGTGGGTCGAGTAAAACGCGCAACATCACTCAGTCAACTCGTTTTGCAGCACTTTGTTGCAAAACAAGTTGAACGTATTTTTTTTGGCCCGTTTTACCGACCTATTTTTGCATATGAAGCATTGTCTTCAATTTCTTTTGAGACGGGGGAAATGTGTAAAAAGGGATTCTATTTGTCTATTAGTTTTCTGCACTTACCACTCTAACAAGTCTGCTTATTCTCATGGCGAACGAAACCTCCACCGATTTGTTGCCTAAAACTGGCCGAACGGTCTTGTCGTAATTTTCCAGAAGAAGAGCGCGGATCCGGTGTTCAAAGGATTGATTGGATGCACCAAAAACGCCTTCAATAATAAAAATAACAAACGGTTTTGTTTATTTGGCGATCCCGTATATAAAGAGTGTTGCAACAATTTTGGAGCCTTTTTGACATTAATTATCCTTTTACTTTGTATCGATAAGTTCTACAATCTGCCCCACAAGCCGTATAAACCCGTGAAAAACAGCCCAAACCTGCCCCTCCGAATTATTTCAAGTGCTAAGAACGTGAAGCCAATTTTGTTGTTTTTATGCAGAAGAAGTGCAAATATTCATGCTCATTTGCTCATTGTTGAGGAATCTTCAAAAGAACCTTGATATAACCGAACCTCTATATAACGAAATCTTTGGTATAACGAAAGATATTCTTTGTCCAGCAATACTAGAATATATGTGTTTTAAAAACAATAAAAATGGAACCGATGGAAAATGTTCACACTGCCCATGTTTTTAACTTAAAATTAGTAAAGGAATTTTATTTGGTGTTTGGGATTTATTGCAAAATTCACTCGTTTAGGGAAATATCTATAGGTTAAGAGAAATATCATTAAAAAAAACAATTTTACTTATTTTACTTGATGTTAAACTCCTACGCATCAGCACTGATCAAACGACATCCTCTCCCGAAGTGAGAAAATGGCTTCTGTTGATTCCGACATTCTTCTTGGTCTTGTTGAAGGAAAATGTTGATTGAACAGTTACGTTAGCCACTTGTGGCAATTGCTACGATATGTGTTTGTAGTGGAGTTGTTGTAAACGTTCTTGTTGATTGATTTGAGTAAGCTACTTCACTACTAATAGCTTTGGTTTCTAAGTTAATTGATCGATAGAAAGTTTATTCTCCTGACATGAATTCGGTGCAAAGGAGATGTACCAATTTGGTGCATCTCCGCGGTAACACTTCTGTTCATAAACTATGTTTAATTGGAGCCTTTGACAGATGACAAAGCCTTGTTTATATTAAGTAGTTTGTCCAATTTAACATTTTTGACCTTAATCTGGTCTTCCTACGATATTTACCAGGAAATGACTGCCCTGCTCGTTTTTTACAGTTTTAAGCGTGTTTCTTGAGTTTTTAACCGAATTCTTGGCAGTGGTAACTTTAATTAGGCTTAAGTGATTTTATAGGTGTCTTTTTAGTTAAACAACTATTGTTCTAAATTCTGCCTTATACTTTGAACTGCATTTTGAATTTACCCTTTGAGTTTGCGATCACGTTCGTGGTCAATTTATGGAAAAATTTTAGCCAATCATCTTCGATGAACAAGCTTAATACCTTCTGTAAATTGACAAAAACCTTAGATTTTCAAACTGTAATTTTAGTACTTTCGTATCTGTTAATATGAAAAGTCTGTTTACTAGTATATACCTTGTAGTTTTTATATTGTTCTCCTAGTTTTATATTGGCCAGTTGACTTAAGCTTAATAGTGAAAACTTTGGTTGAAGAGTCATTTCGACAAAGCAATTATCTCGAAGGTTTCATGCAAATGAGACTGTCAGCATTCGGTTTGCACTAAGCAGCTGGTTTCCTGGCTGATATAAAAATGGGTGTAACACTGATTTAGCGGAGAATTGTAAACTAGGAGTTGAGCTAACTTCGTGACATCGGACTAAAGAATAAAAATGAGTCAGTTGAACAAAGTAATCGTCTGTTTGTTGTGAGAACCAGCTAGTTCCCCAGAAAGGTTCTTCAACATATGGAATGGAGAATGTAACCATATATCTTCCAAATGGATATTACATTTATAAATTTTAGATTCAGCTTATGTTATAATTAGTTAATATTTAATGCCATCGGCTCTAATTGGCTCAGTTTGTGCCTTTTTTGGTCTCTTTAAGGAAAGAGAGTATTCCCCCCTCCCCCCTGCCCCCCAGAAAAGGCCTTTAGACTAAACACTTGGTTTCTGTATTACATCGACCAAAAAGACATGAACTTGAGTGTCGGTCAACGACTTTGACTTGAATGGTCATGCTTAATGATTTCATCTGCTACTAAACAAACAAGTCGCCATAAAACTAGGCCGCTGAGTGCTTGTCTCTTTTGGTAATTTTATCTAAACGTTGCAAAAAGACGAAGATATTGACATATTTATACTAAGGTGTATTTAGCGTGTAATCTTAGCACATGCAGCATTTGGTAAATTTAGGTTAATCTAATATTCTGTCAAAATTAAACAAGCTCTTGCTTTTTATTCTTTCAATATATCTTTCTTTTTGACAATAAAGTACCATAACTTTCTTTGATACGTCACTTTTCTAACCACTGGTAACTCACTAAATCAATTCTTAAAGTTATCACATCTGATCAGTTTAATTTCAACTTGGGTTCGGATTGTTGTATTTCGACTGAAAACCCTCTGAACCATTATTAAACAAAACAGACATAATATACTCTGTACTTGATACAAATTGCACTTACTGTTGGTATAAAATCCCTGTAAACACAGTATAAATGCAAGGGAGAACATGTCGAGGAGCTGATAATTTTTTTGATTGGTTTTCTAAATATTTCGTGCGGTAGAGTTGAATCTTCACCCAACGGGGTTTACGCTTGAGTGAAGCATTTGAAATTAACAATGAATTTAAGCTTCGTTCTTTATTGTTGTGCAAATTGGCCGTCAACATTGAAGAACGATTTACGTTCATAATTTGACGTCAGGATCTCTTGTTACGAAAGTGCTTTGCTATTTCCTTCCAAGCTTTGCGGGCCACGCAACAAAACAGCCTAAAAAATAATAACCAGTAAATGTTACTTCTGAATTAGCCATGAAACTTCCAGGTGGGGATCAGACCAAATAATAAGACGTTTTAAATTGAAATTAGTGCTTATGACTCAGCGTCGTTATTAGTATTTTTATGTAGATCAATGAACATCAGACTGAGTGTCAATTACTTTTATTTTCCCGTTTCAATACGTAAAATGGATGTTTTTTCGGTATGTGCAGCTTATCTTAGTTATGCTATGAATATAAACCCCGGCCTTAAGCTTTATTTTTTAAGGGAGCAATAAGACATGAAAAATTACATGCGCGAAGCAAAGCGTTACTAAGCATTGAACAAAGCAAGTTTTCTTATTAGGCTTGTAACTACAACACTAACAAAACAACAATTAAAACACTTTGTTGCTATCTTTTACCAAAAAAAGTTATTTCGGTGGAGGGATAGTCACTTCTTCTTTCATAAGTTATTTGTGACCAGAGAAACTATATATATATATATATATATATATATATATATATATATATACACACCCGTTTTCAAAAAGGTTTTCATATAGAGAGATATATAGATAGATATATACTTTTGTTTTCTTGCACCTGCGCCCGTGTGCATTTTTCATTTGCTATTGTCCAACTTGTGAAAAACCTCGGTTCAAAGATAAATTTTTTCTTCGTCTGGTTCTTTTTTCCAATTTGAAAAGAACATGTCGTTTGAGTTTTTTTAGAAAAGAGCATCCGCCCTGCAATACAAATTTGCAATGGCGAATTATTTGACTGATTTTGGGAATGAGGAAAAAAGCCCGCGAAGAAGCAGCCGAGTTATGCCGTGTCACCGAATTGATAGGCCAAGCAAGTGACGAAGCATTTTCATTGACGGGGTGTATTAAAAAATGCGCTGTCCAGATGCATGCTTAAGAGAAACTGTCAAACTAACTTGAAAACATTTCTGGCCGAGAGTTTA